AGAGATCCACAGTGGATGCAGAAAAAGAGGTGAACGAGGGCTATCACTGCTGACAAACCGAGAATACAAGAAAGATGACTGCCTGGGTCTTATTGACAATAGCATTCATCCCCCGACGTGGGTCACAAGGAGTATAGGTAACATTGTGAACCGGAATTCCAGAACACCACATTGTGCTCATGGGGAACCCGCACATGCACCAAGAGGAAGTCCTGGGAACAGAGCAAGGGGGTTCTGCGCAGATCAACACCAGGTAAGGTGTGTGTCAGGGTTAGATCTTTTTGTCATGCCTCCTCAATGTACATGCTGAGCAAAAAACCCAAGAAGCTGGACCATATAAAGAGGTACTTGGCATGTGGATTGGAGGAAGGCTCACGAATTGCCCTCAGCATGCAGATGTTATCACTGCTTGCTGAAAGCAAAAAGGACTTGAAACTCTTGTTAATGATGATCAAAGACTAGAGCTTTCGGTATGTACTACACACTTCCATGCAGTTTTTTTGTAAACTCTGTACCAATAAGCAAAGGACGTACGTTGTTTAGAATTTCATTTTACTTATACTCAAATTTAATACCCATGGAAGCAGAAGTAAAGAAACTTAACAACATAATGCACTGGTGAATCTTGTGCAAAAGATAGCTATAGTTTAAAAAATAAAGATGTCTTTTTGAGGACGTGGGGGGCGGGGTAATCTGACCTAAACCATGGTATTTTCAATAGCCTCACACACGTGAAGACTGAAAGGCCGCAGAAGAATGAATGAACTTGAACTATGGTGTTGGTGAAAATGCTGAACAAACAAATCTATACAAATTTGAATGTACAAGTTCAGATTATCTTCCCAAGAACCAAACCTTTAAAGAGAATCCCTCGACCTTCCTCTCACCCTGTCCCAATGCCCCAACCCACGGTGCTAACCACAAGGTCAGCAGTTCAAAACCACATGCCACTCAAGAGTGACAGCCATGGAAAGACTCCGCGACAATTCTACCCTGCCCTAAATGGTCATTAAGGGTTGGCATCGACTCAGTAACAGTCAGGTTGGTTTGTTTCAGGTTTACAAACTGCTCAAACCAAACACACATTCACAGCCATGAGGCCATTCTGACTCACACAGTCCCATGGGACAGGGGAACTGCCCAGGGCTTCCTCCTCTCTCCCTCCCAGTTCTCCCAATCGCTGTCAGATCTAATCTCATCAACACGATAAGCTCACTAACCAGTTCTCATTTCTAATAAATTTTGTATAAAATCTCCCCTTTTTATATTGTCTAGTTCATTTTTTTTAGTCTTATTTTTTTAAATTAAGCCCTTAAATCTTTTAAGGCAGTGGTCCTCAATCTTCCTAATGCTGAGACCCTTTAATATAGCTCCTCATGTTGTGGTGACCCCCCCCCAAAATAAAATTATTTTTGTTGTTACTTCATAACTGTAATTTTGCTAATGTTATGAATCATAATGTAAATATCTGATATGCAGGATGCATTTTCATTGTTACAAATTGAACATAATTAAGCATAATTAAAGCATAGTGACTAATCACAAAACAATGTATAATTATATATTGTGAAATATTTACGTGTTTTCCGATGGTCTTAAGCGACCCCTGTGAAAGGGTCATTCAATCCCAAAAAAACCCACGGGTTGAGAACTACTGTTTTAAGGTATATATTTTGTAGCTAATAAGTGTTCGGACTAAACATTTAAGGTTGTGATGTGTCAAATGGAGTGGTACTAGGGCCTCAGTGGAGACTGCATGTGTACCCATGGGCTGTCAAGTTACCAGGCAACCAGCCAGCCTGCCTGTCATGAACTGGATGCTACCTGAGCCACCACGCCACAAACAGGACTCCCTCTTCAAACAAAATAATACACAAGACCGCCAGGCTTGGACGGGCCCCGAAGCCACAGTACAGCACATGAGGCGTGTGGCCCTACTCCTGCTCCATTAGCCCACACTCAAGGCCTCGTGGTGCTTCCGGGGACCCCCTGGCTGAGGAAAGCTCCAGTCTGTTTGACAGAAGGCCCTGGGCAGTCTGCAGACACACAGCAACATGGGCTGCTGCAGCATTACAGCCCCGTAGACAGCGCTCAGAACGAGACCTGGGCAGAAGGACCCACGCACACCAGGATCCATGGGCTATGGGCCCACGGCTTGCTGGGCAGTCCTGAGACCTGGGAGAGCCAGAGATTGGGAAATTGGTCACCAGGTGGTCACAAGGGGGAGGATTCGGACAGGCCTCTCTGTGACCTGGGAGGCGGTACACAAAGGGGTGGTCCACTGTGTGCATACAGGCCAGCTTCTTTCCCAGCCACTCCTGTCACTGCCATGCTCACAATGGCCAGGGTGGCAGGGATGCAAGCTACGTGTGGGCTCAGCGGTATAAACTTCCACTCACCAAGGCCACCCTGACTGCAACTCATGCTGAGTACCCCATCTGAGTGCACCACTCCTTGGGGTGTCAGCTGGCATAGCATCCTGCCCATGCACACGGAATCCCACTGATTGATCAGTTTCTGGCCCACTGGCCCACTTACCGGACAGGGCAGTTCCTGGCTCTTGCTAGAACAGGCATTCGCCCTATACGGACCTACATGCAATGTTTCTGTCCAAACAACCATCCAAAACAAAACGTCCAGGAAGCCCACACAGGACTGATACAGAGCCGCACTGCACAACAAACACGGTGTGGCATGGTCTCGAGCTCATAGGATTCACTGGTCCCATGGTGCTGCCCATCACCCCAAAGCCTAGCCCCATAGCCCCACACCTCAGCCCAGCCATTGCTACCTTAAAATTCTCCCACGACACCTCCTCTCAGTTGTCAGGTGGATTCTGACTCACAGGGACCTTACAGGAAAGGAGCACTTTTCCATGGGGTTTCTGAGACTGCATCATCAGGGAGCCAACAGCCTCAGCTTTCTCCCTAGGTATGGCTGGTGGGTTTGAACAGCCAGCCTTGCCATTAGCATCCCCATGTGTAACCCAGGGCACCTTCTACACACAGTTGTGACCATATCCTCCTTTGGCTGGATCGCGTCCCTGCCCATTGAAAGGGAACCCCACTGCTTGATCCGTTTTCTCCAGGGCCATAGTGAGGGGAGACCAGGGTTCCTGGGATAGCAGAAGCCTGTCCTCACCGCTCTAGCTTCTGTTCCAGCTGTGCACACTTCTGACCACGCAATCCCCCAACCCATGTTTCCTATTTCTGCACATGATCTTCTCCACCAGTCTCTGCTCCTTCCCACCACGCCACCTGTCAGTCTGAGGACTCTTCCATACCACCTTCAGGATGAAGGTCACCTGTCCCCTCTGAGCATCACGCCCGGGCGCTCCCTCGCTGCATCCACAGGACCTCGTGGGACCTCGTGGGCATCCCTGCTCATCCTCAGCCCCTGCACTGCAGTTGCTACTCTCTCCGTCCCCCTCCCATCAGGCACCTGGTCTGGAACACAGCAAGTGCTCCACAAGCATTTGACTGAAGCCCAGCTCTGCCCATGCAGAACCAAGGTGCTACAGGGAATTCGTGCTCGTGCCAGTTCCAGTCCCAGCCCACAACCAGCAGCCATCCACATCTTGCCTGGCTCACCCCTCCCACAAAACGAGAACTTGTGCTAGAGCAGCAGTCCTCAACCTGTGAATCACAACCCCTTTGGGGGTCGAACGACCCTTTCACAGGGGTTGCCCAACTCATAACAGTAGCAAAATTGCAGTGATGAAGTAGCAACGAAAATAACTTTATGGTTGGGGGAGGGGATCACCCCAACATGAGGAACTGTATTAAAGGGCTACAGCATTAGAAAGGTTGAGAACCACTGTACTGGAATCTAAAGCATCTTCCAATTCCAATTCTCGCCCTACAGCACACCTCCCGGAGCACTGGTGGTGCAGTAGCTAAGCAGAAAGTCGACAATTCAAACCCACCAGCTGCTCCACAGGAGAAAGATATGGCCGTGTGCCCCCGTGGAGATGGACAGTCATGGGGCAGTTCTACTCTGCCCCGCAGGGTCACTGGGAGTCTGGGTGGTGGCTCTTGATCTGGAGAATATATCTCCATGTACAACCTTCTGCTCATGAAAGCCATTCCCCAGGACCAATGAAAAGAGGTTTTCCAACACCGAGCATGAACTTGTTTTCCTTTTGTTTGAAAATACACACCCACCAGCACAACAACTGTGGTACAAATAAACCAAACACACGCAAGCGTAGCCCTCGGTCAGGGACTGAATTGTAGCCGCCATGCCTGCCCCCAAGAAGATGTGCTGAAGGCCAAGAGCCCAGGACCTGCAAACAGGGCCTTACTGTGAAAGCAGGTCTTTGAAGAAGCTACCAGTGAAGGGCAGTCCTACTGGAGCAGGTGGTCCTAGTGTGACAAGAACGGCATCCTCTGAACAGACCAGAGCCATAGGCAGAGGGGCGGAGGGTGGCGTGGTCTAGGAGCCAGAGAGCACCAGGATGGCCAGTGCTATCAGAAGTGGAGAGAGCTCGATGCTGGACTGTGGACAAGAAGGACCATGCCTGCTCCAAGAGAGCCAGCAACCTCAGTCCTTCCTCCAAGCCGCCTGCAGAGACTGGCCGCCCCTCTGGTTCTCCACACAACTCCAGGGCCAAAGTGGTTTCTGCTGGTCCATTTAGCCACAGCCTGGAACCCAAGGGACCTGAAGGCAGGCTTCCCTTACCTATTTTTCCCTGGTGTGCTTGTGAGCTCAAGCGCATGCCGCTCTAAGCGTGCACCATAATAGTAGCTATGCATGCACACCCTGAAATGCGCTGATATGAATCTGACTTTCTGCACATGGATTGTGAGCTCAAACGGTGACTCGTCTTTTTTCCTGTAGTTAGTAACTCATGCACATTAAGCACAAAGATTTACTAACCTAAGTCAGTAGAAGGAATTGTCTAGAACAGAAGTAAAAGCAAAATGAAGGGCATTCAAGAGTCCAGGTCTGAGGGGCAGGTGCAGCACACACCTCTTGGTGCGGTGCAGGCTGCCCCTTACCTTGTGGGCAGGTACCAGGTTCACCAGCACGGTGTCCAGTAGCTCCTGAGAGACAGTGTCCCCCTCGCAGATGATGGAGCTCATGAGGTCGACCATGTGCATGTGCACCTTCTGGTTGTGGCCGTTGCTGAAAGTCAAAGCAGCGAGGTCACCGGGAGTGCAAGCAACCACTGTTCCCGCCACCCAGGACCGACAGAAAGAACTGAGAAGGGCTGCCCCACAGGGCCTCGGAGCCTGGCAGCCTTCACAGGAGCAGGTTGGTGATTTCAAACAGCTGACCTTGTGGACAGCAGCCCGACTCATAACCCACTGCGCCATGAGGGCTCCTATCTGTAACCTAGAAATGCTTCAGATTCTTAAAATGTTACAGAGCTGGTCAAAGAGACTTACTTTATCACTGAAAACAATGTTCTGTACAGTTGGGTAAAAATCTCATTGCTGTCCTCCAACTCGAAGCATATGTTATAGGACTTGACCCAGGCAATGTTCTGTAAGGGAAAGGAGGTAGAGAAGGGAACCAACGGTGAACTTGCCAAAGAGGGACAAGATCCAGGCTCCAAAGTCAGTTGTGAGTGTCGTTGCTTCAGGATTGACAGGGCGACTTACCTCAAGTAAATAAAAATACCGATTGAACTGTGGGCTCTTTGTGTCCTCCAGCCCCTTCAACTGCCTTGTTATGAACATAAATATATCCTTCAAAAGAGGAGACAAAGCCATGGTCAGATCGCCAACACAAATAAAGACTCCCAAAGCTCATCCAAGACTCACATACCAGTAGCATGAAGTACTTAACACATGGAGGGATGCAGGTATGTGTATGTAAAAACTCATACATAGGTGTCTGCCTGTGACACTGTATTTGGCTGTTAGTTTTGAAAAGTGGGCTGTCGCATGAATGACAGTAAGAACAAACATCTTACCACCACTATCCATCAGAGGAAAACAGTCAACCGTTTCCTATGATCTCAAAGTAGAGGAAGAAACACGTGGGCTTACAACAGGTGCGATGAACAGACTGGGAACAAAGCCACCAGAAGGTCTGCTAAGGCTGATGGCGATGTGATGAAACCACTGCCCGCTGAAACCTTACCAGGGTCGCCGGAGCAGCAAGCTATACGGACCAGGAGAAGAGACTCCAAGAAGCTTGCACAAAAATGCAATGAAACCGTAATGGAATTTTTCCCAAAGACATTTTGAAGTCTCTCACCTAATACTATCGCAGGGCAATGTTTGAAAATTTGAAATTTCAAAACAAAACAGACAAGTGGAAAGGCGGTAAGTTTGCAATGATCCACGACGTCTCCCTTTTGCTAAGATTCCCAGGACATTACAGAGCAGATTTAATGCCCTTCACAACAGCACGCCATGTCGCTGGCAAGTATGTTGGTGCCCAGGATGTCGTTGACTTGGTTTTCTCTCTCTGCCTCACTCGTGTGCACCTTACTGCACACTTTTTGTGAAATGGGAAATGACATTACAATCACATGAATCAGTAACGATTGTAAAAATAACAATAGTTGAACTTAATTTACAGCTTCAGTAGGGGGAACGTGGGATAATCAACGGTGCATTGAATAGACTGCAACGGATGAGATGGAGCAAGACGTGCTTAACTGTGGAACGAAGAAGGATGATCTGCTCTGACCTTCATCTCACGGACGACAAAAGTAGACCATCGATCACACAGATTAGCTATTTTAAAAGAATCCTTAAGAGACAATTTGTCAGCTATTATATTGACTTACTTCTCTCCCTCACCGCTCCCCTACTTGCACATGCCCATGTGACTGCACATGCCCGTGTGTACGGGGAGAGATGGGCTCAATGTCATTGAGTAAATTATGAAAATGGAAGAGTGGATTCTTTTAGAAGAAATGTAGGTGATATGTTTGTAAAGTTTAAAGGAGGTCAAAATTATGCAAGAGCATTCTATAAGAAAGCAACCAATTAGATGGGGTGGGGAGAAGCATGCACGTATGTGTGTGCACACACATGTATATTCACATACATACATCAAAGGAGCCCTAGTGACTCTAAGGGCTAAGAATGGGGCTTTAAGCTAAGAGTCAATGGTTCACACCTACCAGCTACTCTGCAAAAGCAAGCTGAGCCTGTCTGCCTCCCTAAGATTTAGTGTTGGGAATGCTATATAGGATCGCTGTGAGCTGGAACCGACTCCATGGCAGTGCATTTGACTTGGGACACCTATGTATTCAAGAAACCCAAGTTCCAAGTCTTTTTCTGCAGACTCCGCAGTGTGTGCGTGTGCGTGTGTGTGTGTGTGTGTGTGAGAGAGAGAGAGAGAAATCTAGCATCCAGCTGACTGTGCTACTTCAAACGACGAAGGCTGTCCCAGTACAAAGGTTCAGAAGGAAAAGGGAACAGCCTTGCAGGTAAAGCCGAAGGGAACAGAGCTCAGGACCACAAGATAGCACTGGAAGACTTGAACCCACCACACTAATCTGCACGTTATGCTCAGGATCAGAGGTCTGTTTCCAAACATAAGCTCCAGAAACCCAGAAGTGGTTTTCCAAGAGGCTGCTACAGCCAAGGGCAATGGACACTCCTCTCGTCTACGTCAGCCCCCAACCAGGGGCCAAGCCGGGCAGATGGAAGCAGTGCCATGCAGGGTGGTGTGGGCAGCACTTGCCTTCAGTTTGTCGGGGGACGTGTATGGTGCTTCGGGGGCGTAGATCCGGAAGATGTCGGCCAGGCAGCAAGCGACCAGCAAGCGGACATCTTTATCAGGATGCTTGAGGAAGAAGTCTGATGCGAGATGTAAGGCCAGGTTCAGGTAGAGCTCCTTTTCTTCTTCCGAGTCCTGGTCCATGTCCATGAATGTCTTCACGACCATCTACCCAAAACAAGGGCACAAACAAAACGTCGACCCAGCCCTGAGACACCGCTCCAGGTAAGAGCACGCTGTCAGAAAGCCTCGCTCCAACCATGTCCACAGGTCCACTCTCAGTGCCCGACAAAAGGGTCTGTCGGAGAGAACAAGGCCCCTCCAAGACTGTCCTTTTAAACCCTGGGCAAACTACTTTTCCTTGTCCTGTGATTCCTGTTAACTGGATGTTAAATTAAGTTTAGCCTCATGCACCAGTCATTACTGGGAGAATTCGAGGATTTCCTGACACTTCCAGTCCCATGTACACTGTGGACCAACTCTCCTGGCCGGCAGGACCATGAGTTTAAGGCTAAAAAGTTCTAAGTGAGTCCCCTAACATGTGCATCTTATTACTTTTAAATATCTTAATGGCTTTGGTGCATTATGAAAGGTGACAAAGGAAAAACCAGATCTGGGCACAAGGAACCATTTCTTTACCTAGAATCC